ATCCTCCCTGGTTTAAATAAGAATATTGAAAGGAGGTCTGGGATTTTTATTGGATGCAACATTTATTTCTATGCAGCCTCAATCCTCCACTCCCCTCACATCACGGGGAAAAGGAAAGAGCAAACATCTATCATGTGAAAGGATTATTTCTATACAATTTACACCGTTATAAACGAAATGGAAAGATGAAATTAAACATTTAAATCATATTCATAGAAGAAATTAGAAACAAATGATAGACAATATTGGTTAGTGATGTAGAAAGCCTTCTAATCAAGAATCCAACAGGTCCTGAGTAATCAAAGTCAACGCGTGAACTCAGAAGTAATAATAGGATTACGATAGCTAAGTGGCTTGGAGTTCAGATATTTGTTTATAATTGATTCAAGTGAAATATTCAAGATTTCATAACTATGATTCGGTAAAAACCTAGCGTTCGAATTATAAAGCATCCTTTAGAAGACCATCTCAAAATCTAAGGCAACTTTATTTAAACGACCTGAATCTTTCTCTTTGAATTCTTATGCGTCCATTATCTTAGGATGATAAAACAACAAAGAACTATTTGAATACAATATACTGTATTGATATTTGCTTGCTTATTTCAGGGTTTTCAATAAATAGCTGTGTATATGCTTAACTGTATTTTTTCGTGAGCATTTATCGTCTATCCTTCATGTGTGATTATTCCTTCAGCTTAGAAAAAATAAAGCGGACTTCAGATATCAATCACACCTGTGCCGCTTCTGATGGAAGTTTTAAGCGTCTCACATTGGTTTTTCGTCTTAATCCATTGTTTGAGACTATAGATGGAACAGCACCACTTTGATACAGAAAAAGCTGGTCGGAGGCCTTGTCGACATTGATAACACCAACTCGGTGAACTGCCAGAGGAAAGAATAATGGAGCGACGTAATGGTGCAATAGAAACAAGGATACGAGAAGAATGATGAGAGCAAAAGACTCTTGCCACATTGTTTGTATTAAGCCTACTTTGTGAACAATAGGTTAAGGCTTACGAGAGTTGCCTCAGTGAAGCTTCAAAATGGCAATTAATTTATTAGTGTATCATCAAAGGGCAACCTTCCTTCCCATTGGTACATATACATTGTTTAATACTGTATCGTTCGTTGACATCTAGGATTTACATAAGGTAATTTACACTTTAGTTATTTTAACCTCTGTAATGTAATATGTTAACTGAAGGCCTGGATTCACGTTATTGGCACTTAATTAAACAAGCGAAATATTTTCAGCAGGCGATATATATATATATATCGATTACTAGTCGCTCCCATCTGTACTCCAGATTCTTCGGTTACTGTGTGCTTCACTTAGGGACACCACATAAGAAATGGGGAAACCCATCAAGACGGTTAAACCTTCCACTATGAATCAGACGCAGTACGAAGCCTAGCGCAAGAGATTTATCAAGCGAGGTGAATCACAGACTCGTGTTTGATTTTCTAAAACACTAAGATAGTTCACCAAAAGAGATTAAACCTCTAAAACGTGGTTTGAGCAATTGAGTTTTTCATCTCCAAAGGGTCACACACTATTTGCACCAATAATGCTCCAAAATTTTATTGCCCGTGACATCGACATTTGAGGAATCACTTTAAATGCTATGTAAACTGCACACGCTAGGGAATAGAATGACCTCTGCCACAAATCATAGAGACTGCAAGTAGTAGTAGCAGTCAATACAGAGCATGGTTGAATTAGAGGGTATGTAGGGTGGGGAATGATAAAGCGTCCCGTTTTTTTTCTGTGTAACAGCTGGGTTCAATTAAACGGCAGTGTAATGTTTTCTATATCGTCTTCCAACAAATAAACAGCTAAAAACCACAACCTTAAACTACTGCCCTGACATTTTGTTTGATTCACAGAACATTTTCCTTTTTCCCTTTTATGAAGTTTACCTTTTTTACCTTATCATTTTTACTACTGTAGGGGTTGTTCTAACGGAAAGGTAAATCCTCTGTAGGGGAAGGGTAGGCGGAGATACGCTCTTGGCAAGGCCCAAGTATTCGAACACCACGCACATGGCAATCCCTGCCATTATCGCGATTCTCCACAATAATGATCTCCAATCGTGTGCACCACACCCCTAGAGATCTGAGGCTTTCTCCGTCTCTGCCGTCGGGATTCGAGCTGTTGTTAGTCTTTGTGTCGTCTCCTTCGCTAAGCTCCAGATATCCCCACCCCTCCGGACTCTCGAAGACGCCTCGTCCGACTTCCATCATGTCCTCCGTGCAGCACCCCGCGCGGACTGCCACCACGCGTGGGGTGTAGCTTTCGTCATTGATATGGGAGAGAAGGAGGAGGACGGCCGTCACGGCACGCAGGGCCGCGAAGTCGATGCTGATGCCGTGCGGGAGGACACCGTCCGACTGCCAGTAGGAGGAGGGGTCCCGCCAGTGGAGGAGGTTCGCCACGCCGTTGCCGTGTT